TGCATGCATAGGCAAGGAGTTCCTTAAACGTTTTCAGAGTAACACCGAAGACAGTCAGGCACTGTCTTACTTATCATGAGTAAACTAATTAGTGCATAAAAAGTACTTAGAACAATGCTTAGAACATTATACACACGCGGTAAACCTTGGCTTCAGTTTTATCTCCATCAGCATTTTCACAGGCGCCAACGCGCGTCGTTGCCCTTTTAAGAGACCGGCCCACTTTCTCCCCTAAACGGAAGTACTCCTCCAGGTACCGGAAGTACCCTAAACGCCCCTCAGAAAGATGGCCGCTGAACATTCTTCCGGAAGCCGTCACCGGAATCTCCGTGACGCAGGCCGAGCTGAAGCGTCCCGTGGGGTTTCTGTAGTGCCGCCCTCCGGCCCCGGTCGCTGCGCCTCCTCTCCCGCCTGAGAGCCGTGACCGCGAAGGCCGCCGGCGGGTCCCGCCCTCGGCCAGACACGACTGGGGGAGTGGCTGAAAGACATGACACTCTAGGCACTCTCCTTGGCGTCTCTATGGTCCCGCGCCGGCCGGAGCGTCGCTCCCGCGCGTCGGGACGGACGTTGCCCCTTTAATCGACGGAGGACGGGGACGAGGAGGTCCCGCGAGAGTTGCGGAGGGCGGGGGCGGTGTCGAGGCTGGGGGCCCGAGAAGGATGGAGCCCGAGATGGAGCCAGACACTCTGGAGGCGCGAATCAGTGAGTGTCCGGGCGGGGCGCGGGCCGGACCGGAACCGGAACCGGAACCGGGGGCACTAGGCGGGCCCCTTCTCATTGGGGGCGGGGTACTCAGGGGGGGCCTCTGAGCGCCCCCTCCTCAGGCCCCGCCCCTGTCCCGGGACGGGCTGTACCCCGAATCGGTCCTTTGGACTTCGGGGAGGAGGACTGGCTCGGGCCGAGCGTGCAGGAGCGGGCTCCGCCTCGCCCAACCCTGCCCGCGACCCCCGGTGGAAGCTGTTAGCCGCGTGCGCCCCAATCTGCGCCGGGCTCTCGCCCAGGACCCCCGAAACGGAAGGAGCACCCGCCAGCCCTCGGGGCTAGACTTCTCCGCCGAGGGAAGGACCCCGGCCCCGAATCCTTCTCTCCAGCCCAGTGTGGCGTGATCGCCTCCCATCCCATCCCCAAATCTGCAGCTGCCCCCTCAATGTGCTCATTCCCAGCCCAGGAACAGAGAGAGGGCTCACTGCCCTTTCTGATCCCCCCAAACTCTAGGGGCAGAGTGCGAACTCCCGATCCTTCCATGTTTAGGAGGGTCCCCTCTCAAAGTGCACAGGCGTTCCCAGGGCCCCTGTCATTGCCCTCAGCGTTCCACAGCACTGGCACACGAGCCCCTGTCCCCCAACGCTGAGGACCCTCACTTCCCTCAAGCCCCGCTCTAAGTTGATTCTGGACGCGCATCGTGTCTCAGGTCTCAGCGAAGCGCCGGGGTCCGTCTTTAGCTCGGCCCCACAGACAGGGATACGCACAGGGTGGTTTGGGCCCACGGCCAGCCGGCTGAGCCGGTCACGTGCGGAAGTGAACCCTGGGGTTGGCCCCAGAACCACAGGTCCCCAGGGATCTTCCGATGGCGTGGGAGGAGGGAAGAAGGAGAATGTTCAGGCGTGCCACAAGTGTCCCAGGCTCAGTCAGCAACAGAGGGGAGGGGAGGAGGCGGGCCCCCCTGATTCCAGACAGTCTGGAGTTTAGCAGCAAGGTGGACTTCTGAGAGTGCAGAGGGTTTACTCTGGGAAGAGTTTGCTGTGGCCTGGGTCCTGGGCCTGAGGGCCCGACCTTGTCTTCCCATCCTTTGTGTCCTAGCAAAATGAGCTCACACCCCCTCTGGCACGCTGGTGTAGCTGGAGGTAGGGTGGCCACTGGGGGTGCACAGGATGGCTTTGCCTGCCTCGCTGCCAGGGATTGGGTACCCAGGGAAGTCTCAGATCTCTTGGCACCCAGAGGCCCCTGCTCTGGGCCCCCCACCCCCAGCCAGATGAAGGGAGAGAGCTGATATCCCATGATGCCACTGCTTCCTCCTCGCCGCCTCCCCAGCCCTCTGGACAGCAGCTTCTCCCAGTGAGCTCCTGTGGACTCACGTGCCATTGAACTTCCTCATTGAGGGTCCCCAGCCTGGTGACAAACGGGCAAGAGCCAGCTCCATCTGCCGCTAGTCTGGCATCCCCAGCCTGCCTGTGTTGGGGCCTAGTAGAGGCCATCCTGGCACAGCCTAGGCGTCTTCCATCCGCTCTCAGGCAGCCAGCGCGATAGTCACTCCTCTAAGGGCCCTAAGTTCTTTGGGGAGCCTTGACCAACTCCTTCCGCCTTTTCTCAGCTTAGTTTCTCCAAGGACAGATTGTGGGTTTATTTCTTCATCTACAGATTTGGCTGTGAGCTCCTGGGGGACAGGGCTTTCCCAGGTCACAGCTGCACCCCCACCTCCCAGACTTGTTACTGAATAATCATGAATGGAATGATTGGCTCCCCAGCCCCCTTCAGTATCCCAGAATCCCTGAGTAGGAGAACCGGCCCCTGTTGGGCCCCACTGCCTCTTGGGCCAGTCTTCCCTCCACGCCCCCTGGCCTGCTGCTCAGGTGGGCGTAGTTGGGGTCCCTGAGAGGACAAAGCTAGGAGGCAGCCTGGGGTACGCTGGTGAAGACCAAGCCCTGGCTGCCCCCATGACTTTACAACCAAACCCACTGCCAGTGAGTTGAGTCCGCCTCACAGTGACCCCGATGTGGAGTTTCTGAGACTGTCAATCTTTCCGGGAACAGATAACCTTATCTTTCTCCCAAGGAGTGGCTAGTGGGTATGAACCACCAACCCTGTGGTTAGCAACTAATACCAGGCAGAAGGAGTTTGCCCTCCAGCCCCCATATCGCACTCCCCTATGTGCCATCCCTCTCCTGGGGGCCTAGCCACCCCTGCCCGCAGACAGCAAACCCCTCCCCGCCTCTTCATGAGCTGCCTGCAGAGATGGGATGTCCTGGGCCCACAGTCAAGGGGAGGTCTGGGGAAAGAAAATGGAGAGGTGGCCCAGCTGGACGACCCAGATGGGAGCTGAGAGGTTAGGGAAAGCCACCTGGAGGTGGGGTCTGAGCCTCTCCCAAGGGGAAAAGGGTCCACCATGAAACCCACTGCTTACCTAGGCCCTAGATGTGCAGCCCAGGCTCTGCTATCCCCCCCACCCCCACCCACCCAACCCTCGCTGGCATCCAGCTCTGTTTGAGAGTGGCTGCTCCCAGGCAGCCCTCTGGGCTCCGACTGAACTGGGGGCCCCTGCCTGGCTCCCCAGCTCCTTGCCGCTCTGTTGTCACTGTGTTGGGAGCCCATTTCCGGGCTCTGCTCCCAGAGGCTGGAGCCTGGCATTTGCTTTCTCCCCTCTGGGCGTCTTCAGGACTGGGCGATGAAGGCAGTCTCTCTAAAAGAGGGGCTTTAGTGAGAAGCTGCTGGGGAGCACGGGCTTGAACCGCTCTCTGAAGCCTTAGCCTCAGGCCTCGGGCTTTCCAAGCCGGAAGGCTAAGGGGGAGCCTTTCCCTGCTCAGCCACATTGCCTGTTGACCAGGCGGGGCTGCTGGCAGGTGGCGGGAAGGGCAGGGTGCCCTGGGAACCACACTGACCCCTCCCTCCTGCAGACAGAGCCACCAACCCCCTGAACAAGGAGCTGAACTGGACCAGCATCCACGGCTTCTGCGAGCAGCTCAACGAGGACTTGGAGGGGTAGGCTGCCCCACACCCCACTCTCCTGTTCACCCCAAACTACCCTGGGCCAGCCCCGCCTCAGGCACAGCGTGGGAGGCCACTCTGTCCATGAGCTCACAGAGCAGGGGGACTGCAGAGCCTACAGTGGGCCACCCTGTGAGGTGGACCCTGCTGGACCCACCTGCAGGCAAAGAGACAGAGGCCCATCAGCTTGCCCTGGGAGCCCACAGAGGCCTGTCCTCACCAGGCCTGCCCAGCCCCATGGAGACAATCCATAGGCCTGTCAGAGTTGCCTGCAGGCTTGGAGCAGCATCTGTAGGGAGGGAAGCTGGTAGCCCCGCCCCCATCTCCCCCGGTGCTGCTGAAGTTCAGGAGCACCATTCTGGGACTTGCCCGGTCTGTTTCCTCCACTGAGACCCTCAGTCCAGTCCCATCCGCTGGTGCTCCTGAGCAGTCCGGCTGCCTGGCGTGGAGGTGTCAGACCGCTCCCGGAAGGTTGGCAGGTGGACCTTTCCCAGAAGGGCCTCTGGAGAGAGGCCTGGTGGTCTGCTTCCGGGAAGTCCCAGCAGAGACACCATGTGGTGTGCGGCTGCTCCACACACCCCGGTGACCCGGAGTCCAAATCGACTGCATGCGTGTCCCTCCAAGCCTCTGAGTGTTCAGGGTAGAGTGGGGTGGTGCTGCGCCTGCCTCAGAAATGCCTGCACGGCCGCTGTCAGCTCCTAGGTCGTTAGAGGCAGGTGGATACGGTCACTGCCTCCATGTTGCCCCCTTTAGCCCCCGAGGCGCTCTAACTGCCCCCCTTTTTGCACAGTTGTGTCCTGCTCTCTGTGACATCTCTGGGCCGAGGGGGTGGCACGTCATGGTGGTGGAGGTGCTGGTGGGTCTCTTCCAGCTCACTGGGACTCCATGTCCCGAGGCGCAAGCCCCGCCAGCCCCATGCCATCCGTCCTCACGGTCAGGGCTCTATGTGAGCCCGCTGCTGCAGCCACACAGATGGTCGGTCAGTCTCATCGAAGGTCTTCCTCTTTCTTAGTGACCCTCTGCTTTACCTGGAACGGTGTCCTCTCCAGGGACTCTTCCCTCCTGATACCTTGTCCAAAATATCTAAGGCGTCGTCGTACTGTCTTTGCTTCTAAGGAACATTCTGGCTGTATTTCTGCCAGGGCACAGACTCTGGGTTCTCTCGGCAGTCCAGGAGTGCCAGCAGCACTCTTCGCCAGCACTGCCCTCCAAGGCGCGGATTCTGCTCTCCGTTCTAGTTCTCAGCCTTGGCGTGTAGATGAGGCTGTTGAACATACACACGGCCGGCAGATGTGCCCTCGTCCTCAGTGTGGCATCTTTGTTTCACACACTTCTTAACGAGGTCTTTGGCTGCACATGTGCCCAGCGTAGTGCCTCGGGGGATTTCTTGATCCAAGTAAACCGGGATCCCCGTCGTCTTCGGTCCTTTCTCTGGCGGTCGGAAGGTGGTTCATCGGTCCGTTGTGCAGACGGGGGTTTTCTCTGTTTGGGTGTGATCCGTCCTGAAGGCTGCCATCTTCGATCTCCATCACTATGGTGGCGTCTCTCCATCCCTCGTCATCAAGGCCAGTGTCTGGATGTACCCTCCGCCCGGCATGGTGCCCACCCTGCCAGGGCCGCTCTGCCTCACTCCTCGTCACCCCCCAGCCCCGTCCCATCTGGGTTGAATTCTGAGGGGATGCCCCTTCTGGGGTGGCTGGGCGCTGCGGGGGTGCAGCCCAGGCTGTCTGGCGACTCTGGCTCTGTTACTCCTCCCACCCAGGCCGCCACTTGCCACCCGACTGCTGGCACACAAGATCCAGTCCCCGCAGGAGTGGGAGGCCCTCCAGGCCCTGACGGTGAGGGGACGGGGCTGTTGCTCTACGGGGAGGCCCAGGCGGAGGCGGTTGGGGGCGTCCAGACCCTGGTTTGGATCCCAGGGGCCTATGCCAGGTGGATGGTGCCGATGCATATGTGGCCCAGATCACAGAGGCTGAGGCAGTGCTGTGGCTTGGGCGTTGCCAGGCCCTGTAAATCATCATGACCCCTGTTCTCTGGGGCCTCTGTGGACGCCAGTCTGGTGGGTGGTTCCCTCGGAGCCTCAGCAGGTGTGGGGGCCCCTTCCCCCACCCCGTAGGTGCTGGAAACGTGCATGAAGAGCTGCGGCAAGAGGTTCCACGATGAGGTGGGCAAGTTCCGCTTCCTCAACGAGCTCATCAAGGTCGTGTCCCCCAAGGTGGGTGAGCAGCCCCTAGGCTGAGCACCGGCCCACGGTAGGGAGGGTTGGGCAGGCGGGGTCTTCAGAGGGGTGAGCCCAGGCTGTCAGCAGAGCCACGCAGGTGACACAGGTTGCAGGGCCCCAGCCTGGGCCACTGCTGAGAGGTCCACAGCCGCACCTGGCTCTCTGGCCCAGGGCCTCCCTGCCCACCTCCAGGAGGGCCTCCTGTTGTCTCTGACCACTGAAGCAGGTGGCCCACACCCTTCCTGGGGTCTTCCCATCTCAGCCCTGTCCCTGCCTGGGCAGCTGTGTAACCCACGGCGCAGAGAGGGGTCCTGGTTTCTCCTGCCCAGTTTGACCCTGGGCCACTCTTGAGTGGGGCCCAGGGCCAAGCAGGTCTGTGCCTGCCCTGTCCCCGATCAATCTTGCTGCCACAGACCCGTCCTCCCCACAGTCACAGCATCCCCTTCCGAGAGTTGCCAGGAACCACCTGTACCTCACCCCCCAGCCTAGTCCCTCAGTGATCCCTGCAGGGTGGGGCTGCTCCAGCCTTTCCCAGGCCCCGGGCGGCACAGGGCTGAGGGCTTCCGAGAGGGCGGAGAAGCGGCCGGGCTGGGGCTGGAGGAGTGGGGACAGCCGTGTCACAGGCCTCTCACTGCGTCCTCCTTGAAGTACCTGGGCTCTCGGACCTCTGAGAAAGTGAGGAGCAAGGTGGTGGAGCTGCTGTACGGCTGGACGGTCAGCCTGCCCGAGGAGGTGAAGGTGGCAGAGGCCTATCAGATGCTGAAGAAGCAGGGTGAGGGACCTCTCCAGGGGACCACACCGGGCCTCTCCCTGCCTGCCTGAGATGGCCTGGAGCTGGGGGGTGGGGGGGTGGGCTGAGCTCTA